AATTTTCTATGATAAGTATAATTTATTTTATGATAAGTATATAATCATAAGTTATAATAATTAATAAATTGACAAAAGTTTCTCGGTAAAAGAAAAACCAAAATAAGATAAAATATTTGACGAGAAACAAACACTGTCTTCATCACCACAATACTTAGAAAGCAATACACCAAAAATTTGATATGTCCTCATTTATTACACATCGTTCAAACATTAATACACAATCACATAGATTACAAATATGCAAAATAATAGAGAATTTACTTATCTTAAATAGTCAATGAGAATTGCAAACTCGAAGAGCCGGGGGGGGGGGGGTAGGTTGAAAAAAATACTTGAGGCAGTGAGTATCGATGTAGGAGTTTTGTTCTTAAAAGAAACATTTTAAGGATAAAATAGTAAAAATTTTGGTCAAACTTAAAGTCCTTACAAGCTAAAAATTTATAAGTTGGGGTTGACCAGCTTATGGCTTTTGACTTATTTTTGACTTATAAGCACTTTTAACTTTACCAAACGCGCAGATAAGCTGAAAAGTGCTTATAAGCTAGTTCGACCAGCTTATAAGCTAGTTCGACCAGCTTATAAGCTTAGCCAAACACCCTCTTAGTAATTACTATTGAATATATGAGATAATATCTAATGGGTAGGGTATTTAGCTTATTACTATTGTCATATGGATAATGGAAAAAATATAACTTATAAAAAAATTAGATTTTTGGATTTTCAAAAATTCGAAGTACCAAATCCAATAACCAATCTGAAATCCAAAATTTTAAAAAGTAAATCCAATATCTAATCTGTAATCCAAAAATTCGGATTTCGAGTTTTCCCAAATTATGTCCGCCCCTAATTCAAACTATATAAATTTTTGACCAATTTTGGAATATATTTACTTTTCATATAGTTTTTGAATATCTAAATTTTAACTTTAAAATATTGAGTTAATTTAATTCAATTTAGCTTCAAAGATTATCAAATTAACTACTAAAAAGCGAACATACTCACATAAACTAAATAGAGGAGTACCTTTTTATTGAGATGTACTTAGTGTAAAGCTACTCTAACACATATCAATGTATCATTTTGCTTTGTTGTTTGAGAAGCAATGGCCTTTCTGTAACACCTAGCTGTCCATATGCTTGAAAGATTTTGCATTACTTTCCAAAGATGACCTTGTTATAACATTTAGGACTTGTCCGCTATAAGCACATGAGTACTTTAACATTAGAAGAAAGGACTCATAATGTTGAGAACTCCAATAAAAGCTTATGAGTTGAGAACTCCAATAAAAGCTAAAAACGGGGATCATGATTGTGCATGGAAAATCTAAGGTACCATATTTTGTACTCCCTCCGTTTAGTTATTCTCTTTTGAGGTTGCACTTACAATTTTATCCGTAATAATGCTAGCATTTTAAAAAAACTAGAGAAATAGTTTGGGGAACAAGCAATTAATAATAAGAGAAAAATAAGAAAAAAGATTGTCTTTCTCGTGATTTGCTAAAATAGACAAATAAAAAGAATGTATTTTTAGTATGGTGGACAAGTTACCCCAAAAAATAATAAATGACGTGCATATATTATCATATATCCATAATAATGAAAAATAGTCTCAAAAAGTCTTGCAAAATAATTTGAGGAATGAGTAGTGAATAATAAGGATACAGTAGAAGATTGTTTTTTTTTTCTCTTAATTTACTAAAGTGCACAAGTAAAAGAAAAAAATATACTTTTAATATAGTGGACAAGTAAATGAAACGGAGGGAGTATATATATTCACTTCCGTGTGCGTAGCTTGATGTTTATCCAATGGTTGTAACTCGTAAATGCTAGTAACTTGTTCTAATTGATATGAACATTGCTGATTGTAGACATGTGATTTTTGACCCTCCCTAAGATTTTTTATATTTTAGCATGTAAATATTTAATTTAGGCCTAATATCGCCATTTCAATTAATTTTTACTATTTTACTTATTTTATTACAAGAAAATAAAAAATTACAAAAAAATAGGTTTATTAATATTTTATAATCATTTTTAATCTTAAAAAAAAAATACAAAAATAGTACCCTATCTTTATTTTATAATCTTGAAAACACAAAAAAAAATAGTTTTATGTTTTATAGTTTAGTTCAATTAATTAGAATTAGTTTTATATTTTTATATTATAATTGTACATAATTTTAGAAGAAAGAATTAGTTTTAGGTTGGTTTATCCCGTTTTTATAAATCTTATAGTCCATTTTATTTTAGTCTTTGGCCCAAAATCCCTAGCCCTTAATTCCTAGACCCATACCCCTAACCTAATCCCTACCCTATATAATACTACCTATGCCAAAACATACGGTAGACACTAAAAATCTGATCCGCCGTTTCTTCAAAACAAAAAGGACCTAAGACAAAATGAGCGGAGAACATCCAAAAAATGGCCGACTTACCCATCAAAATTAATTCTCTCTTTGTTTTGGAGAAAACCTTGGAACTCCACCTCCTTGACAAAAAGCAGTGGCCAAAAATCTCAAAGGCCCTTCAAAAGGAATTCAATCGAAGATCTAGGGACCTAATTCCTAAAGTTTAGCTGCCGTGACTTCACTTTTTTTGTTTGTCAAGAGAAAAGAAACTCACGCACACAAAAATAGAGAAAGAGAAAAAGGAGGTTTTGATTTTTAAATCTTCTTTCGAGTTCAATTTTCAAAAAATAGAAAAAAATTAGTTTTAGCTTCTCATTTCAAAAAATCAAAAAAAAAATATATTCTATGTCTTTCTTCCAATTTTCGTTCATGGAGGTCGATTGAAGAAGCGTTGGGGATTCTGGTTGGTATTTGATTTTCCTTTCATTCGAGATTGGATTCTAAGGTTCTGTCCGTGGTTCGCGGTGTGTTCTATTGCCGTTTCGATTTTCCGGTCAACTTTTCGTCACCGGATTCGCTTGTAATTATTGTGCCGAATAGAGACATACATCAGAGAATTTTACAAGAGGTCCATTTACTCTTCTCTCCCTTTATTTTAATTTGGTACGTGTGAATCGAAATATGATGCTGGCTTGTCTCTTATTTGTTTTTGAGGTTTAACAATCTGTTGGTGGCTCGAGAAATTTTCTTTACGATGATTGGATGCACTGTTTAAATGACTCTGGTTTCACTTATATTTGTAGTGGTTAAATCTTGATTATTGTGGGAATTTTCTGATCTTATGTTCTAAGCTAGCTTCAAGTGGGTGTTCCGTCTGATAACCGTGATAACTACCCGAAATTTGATTTGATAAAATTCTTAGGCGTAGAGTATTTATTCATGAGTAATGTACTTGATAGTATGACTTTCCTTTTTCCCTTCCAAATTACTTCTTAAATTTGCTTTAAAGTATTGCAGAACAATCTTCTCATTAGTTTTGGTTCAAATTTGCCCTTGTTCTATTTTTTTTAATTTTTTTTTTATTTTGTTCTTCTTTAAAAAACGTTACTTTGCTGTGAGTTTGAGTGAGTTTCATGCTTCTCCATAGTTTACTAATTTCATTAGGTAATCATCTTTAGTTATTAGTCTTCAATTTTCAACAAAAGAAAGTGATTCGAGGCTTCATTCTTGAAAATGCCACGTTGAATAAAATCTCAAAACTCATGGCACTCACTTAATTAATTTTAACTCTTTAGAAATCGAGGTGTGCCATTAGTGAATTTTCCATGGCCCTCGCAAACTTGAAAACGCGTAGTTTGCTTTAGGCGCGTTATTTTAATAATTTACCTTCCTAAACTTGGGTGTGCATTTCATGTGACCCAAATCCAAATCTTAATAACGTTGAATAAAATGTGTTTCGGATTGAGGGTGCATTTCATGTGACGCGGTCCAAAGACATGTTTTAGACGACGTTAAAGCTTCTTTAAAATAAATAAAAGCGGCTATGAAGTTAAAATCGAACCATAGGCTAGAACATGTATTAAAATCAGATAATAAGCCAATTATGATAGTTTAAGCGACCGTGCTAGAACCACGGAATCCGGGGTGCCTAACACCTTCCCCGGGTTAACAGAATTCCTTATTCAGAATTTCTGGTTCGCAGACTTCACATGGAAAGTCAAAATTTTTCTCGATTTGGGATTGAAAACAAACCGGTGACTTGGGACACCAAATGAACCTTCCCAAGTGGCGACTCTGATAAATAATAATCCCATTTCGAATAATGTAACTTAAAGTGGAAAAACTCCCTTATACATTACCTTTCGGGGTAAGTGTGTAAAAAAGGAGGTGTGACACTGATAATTTTATGTCATATGGTAGTGAATAAAGACACAAATAAATAAATCAAATAATCAATAATACAATTACTCCTAGTAATAAATTCCTGTAACAAGGAAGAGATTTAACGCTCTAGCTCTACATATAAATCATACACACGTTGTTTCAAATGTCAAGTACTAGTGATAGTAAATAGTAACATAATTACTGCCTCTCTTTCAAAGGGAAGATATGTGAACTCTTCATTAATTTAACTGTGTGAAAACTCCTCTCCCCCCAAAAAAAAACATTGATCTTATTAACCTTATAGAATAACACCATTGATCTCTTCCTGTCACATAATAAGATCTAATGCTTTTTTATAGGAGTTTATCGATACGGAAAGAATAAAGATAAAGCCATATTTCAAAAAAGCTAGCTAGAAGAAGGTGGCTAGATATATTTACCAAAAAAAGATTTTGGCTCGAGGTCGATATCACACTTTCAAGCAGAAGCAAAATTAAAATAAGCCTAATCTTATTTACGCAGAGGCAGATATAATGTCTTGTTGATGGCTAATGGGTTTTACTGAACTCATAATTTTTTCATGTGAGCATAACTGAACTCACAATTTTTTCATACTTAGCATAAATATACATAAAAAGAATCACTAAAATTTTAATAAATATTATCCCTGTCCCAATATATATATATATATATATATATATATATATATATATATATATATATATATATATATATATATATATATTCGAGAGTCAAGTTTCTTAATTTTGATGGTGAATTCTGAGATAAAATCTTTAAGTTTTTTGAATTAAATTTTGCATATTTTTAAATTATGAAAAAAGTATAAGCCACAGCACATGAACAATGCCGTCAAAGAAAAGCTCATTTGACCATCAGAATTTATACTATACCATATAAATTAGGACGGAAAGCGTAAAATCTGAACCAATCATTACGTCTAATGATGAGAATGTACCCAATCAAATCGAAATCCTGAATATATATACATATGTTTTACATTTCATGCATATATATATATATATCGTAGTTCGAGTTGAAAGCAATAGTTCAACTAGAAGCCACAAAACTCACCCTAAATCCATTAATAATGGCTGGGAAAAGTATTGAAGGAAAGTCCCATAACAGGAACAGCAAAAGATGTCTCCAAAATTAGGCGCTGCCGAAGAGACTCCAATGCACCGCCGCCGTCTACTATATGTTTCACCAAAGAACGATAATATTGTTTCAACTTCTTGAGGATGCACTTCAGTTTGACTCGTCGGAAAAGCTTAACAAGTATGAATCCACGGCGGGGTTTCTTCTCTCCGCCTAGTCGCACCATCGGCAGCCTCTTCTTCCGGAATGATATTTTCTGGCGCCACCGGCGGAATGTGGTGGTTGGATGGCCGTGGCTGACACTATTTTTGTTGAAGGTGTTAGGTTTAGCTGAAGGCATCATAATTTTTTCTACTGTTTTTTGGTTAATGATATTGGATCCAGATTGAACTAAGTTTGATGATTTTATTGGAGAGCTCATGATTTCACAAAAAACGCTTCTAAGAAACAAAGTAGAAGGAATGAGTTGGGGATGTTTTATATATATATGTATTTCTTTTCTTTCTTTTTTTTTTGGGGGGGGGGGGGGGGGGGGAGTGGGAAGAGTGATGGAGAATTAACTTAAGGAGATAGAGAGTTGACCATGAGCTGCAAAACAACATGGCCATTCTTGGCTTTGCTTATACATGAATTAAGGGTCACATCTCAAGCATTTTTGCAAGAGTTTGATTTCGGTAGTGTATACATTGTTGATTGTTCTTATAAGTTTTTAGCTCATGTAGCAAAGATTAATACCTTATTTATTTTAGTAAATATCATTTAAAAAGATTATATTCTATAAATATTTTTAATGTTTATAACAAAATATCTAATTTTTGGTTACCTCCTACCCCTAAGCCACTAAATACGCTATTCAGTTACACTATTTTCTTTCTCTCTCAACTTTGATACATGCCATTCTCTTCCCCCATTCCCTGAAAACACGATGCTCAATCTCAATCCAACGAGAAACCCTAGCTCTTCCTTGGTGGTAAGACATAGTTGTGTTCCTGGAATTAGAGATCTTTTGATGGAAGTTGCAGTAGTCCTATGGTGAGCAGCAGATTTGTGGCTCCGTGGTTGATGCTACCGCCGGAGTTTGAGGAGGAAAGCAGCCTTTTGAAATTCTACAGACTGGCCGAAGGGGATGTCATACTCATACGGGTATAGGCTGATGAGCACCAAGTGATGATCCCTGATGTCGATTCCGTTTGTGTGGGATCATTATCCAAGGGATGGATTGCTTGCATACAGCCTAAAGATTGTTATCTCTTCCTCTATCACCCACTTTCTGGGAAATTATCCAGCTTCCATCCATTGAAACCTTTCCCTGTGTTAGCGGCATCATCCGTAACTTTTCAATCAAATTAGAAGTCCTGGTATTCAATTAATCACGATGAAGAAGAAAATTTGTGTTAGTATATTCCAATGTATTTTCAACGTATCACGTTGTATTTTCATGTATTTCATTGTATTCATTGTCTTTTTTTTCATTATATTTCTATGTATCCCGCTATATTCTATGTATTCGTTGTATTCACTGTCTCGCTATATGCCATGAATATATTCATATGTTTTTTTAATTAATATAATTAGGTATTCAGATGTATTATATAATTTCTCTGAAGATTACTATGTTCTTGGGATATTTTTCAGTTGAGAATCTTTTTTATAACTGAAAATACAAAATTTGTGTGTTATAATTGAGTTTGTTGAGTTATATTAGGAGTCTATTATGTTAATCGATTCACTTTCCGTTTAAAAACAATATAATCCCCTATTTCACGCCGTGAATACAGTCGAATACAATAATCTGTCCAACTGTAATCTCATGTTTCACGCCATGAATACACTCGAATACAACAACTGATTAGCTGGACTTCCTTGATTCACGTCTATTTTATTGTATTCATAGATAGAGTAGCTTAAATACATCTAATACATCTTATAACAACCGAAAACATATCTACAATCCGTAATATAGTTAATGGTATCCATAAATAGCTAATTACCACTAAAAGATAGTGTTTTATAAACATTTCTCTTAGATATAGTTGTTTCTAGCCAGGGGCGGGGGGTCAAGAGGATTTATATGAACCCGCTTCGAAAAATAACTGTGTATATATAGGTATATTTTACCTTTCTTCGAGAAGACCCTGCTTAGTACAGAGACACTGTCCAACTCATTGGTAGTGGGTTCAAATTCTCTAGGATGTCTCGAGTATGAAACCAGTCAGCTATACATGAGTACTCTTTTTTCACTATATACAGCACTCAACATAAGTTCTCTTCTTTTTTTTCTGAGTAGGAAAGCTTTGTCTTTATATATACACTAGGTGGTGTAAAGCACGGGCCCAACGTCAAGGTGAATGGTTACCATATCGTATACTGGTTCCATAGTACCAACATATACAATTGCATTTTTCAGTTTGTACACCATTAGAAATTCCTCCTGGTATTACCATTGCATCACATAAGTCACAATAAGTCACTACATCTCTTTAAAGAAACTTGCCGGGTGAAGTCTAATTAATTTGAAGCATCACAATGACGTATACGCTCCAACCTTTCCTATTTCCCAAAACCAACTTGGAAACACATTGCCTAGCACAGTAATGTACTTTTAAAATTCAAAAATTGAAATTGTGACTTGCACCGGAAAATAGATGAAGACATTTGCATAATACTCTATAAGCTACAACCTACAAAGTTCTGCAAATTTATAAAAGAGACGGTGATGCTGAAAAGGTCATCTGCCAGATTATCTAAGGTTATCTGCCAGATTAATCTAAAAAATTGCTTCCCTCAAACAAATACACCTATTATTCCAAGTGTGCAGTAGAATCGCAATCCAATGCTCTATTCCGTGCTTGGGCGCATGATGACAAAGATATGGCTGCAATGCACTTGGAAGTGCACCCACCCCTTCAGACTCTTTGTAAGATAAAGCCCTCCTAAAGAAAAGAATAATCACATTTGACAATGTGAAAATTGCTTCAAATTTGCGGAAGTCCAAGCCTTCTCCTGAGGACAGCACACTAACCCTCCATATTGTCTAGCAAAACATATGCAGTTTCACATATAACCTAGCTGCCATTAAGCATATTACATCCGGAATCTGATTCCGGACTTTGTGCATTAGGCTAAGTTGTAGGAACCTGCTAGTTGCTCTAGAACCGTTGTAGAAGGGAATAGGTTGGCATTATCTCGATGCAATTCAGATGACTCCCACTATATAATCTGTCATTATAAAGTTTAATGCAGGTCAATTGCTATAATTACTAAGAAATCATATAGAGATGGGGCGAAGTTATTTAAGGAAAAAATTCGAAGAGTTATTCATGCGAATACTCAAAATAAAATTAGTGAATAAATAAGAGAGTCAAGTTCTGGGTTGACCAGAATGCAGGAGGAGCCTTGGAGGGATTAAACTATAAGCATGTCTAAGTACCAAAATAGCAATAATAACGTTATACTGCCCTTCTTGACAAATAGAGCTAAATTTAAGAACTCTCAAGACCTAGTTCACATTCAAATAAGCATCCAGAGATTTAACTTTTAAGTTCTGGATCATGAGAGCGACAATTACAGATTTCTCAGTTTTATCATCCAGTTCTTACGAAAAAAGTTGCACTAAGAACTTCCAAAATCTGGGTTTAAGACAATTAGTGATTAGATGTATGCACATAATACACCAAGAAACATAAATATTAAAAGGGCGGCCCGGTGCACTAAGCTCCACTATGTGCGGGGTTCGGTGAAGGGACTGACAACAATAGTCTATTATACGAATGGTATTACCTTACTTTATTAAAAAATACACAAAGAAACATAAATGAGCAGTACAACTTCGCGGATTACCTTTTATATATAAAAAATATGAAAAGGATGAATCACATCTTTCCCCTTGCCAAGAACTCCAATGAGGGAAAAACCTTAGACTCTGCATTTGAGATCTGTAGACAGGGCTTGTGTTTGCAAGAAGACGATCACTTGTTTCCTCTCATTTTTTGATGCATCATTGCAACAACAGTGCTTCTTTCTCGACCATTGTTATATGATCATAGATTTTGGTATCCTTATCATGAGCTTCCTTCACCGAATGAGAATCTTTTTTATTTGTGGGGTATCCATCTATATAATCATTTATTTTTCACAAGTGAGTGGTATAATCTTCCTATCAATTTATAATTGCTCTAATCATTTCTCATATCAGGTTTTTTTTATAAATAAAGTGAGTGGTATAATCTTCCTGTCAATTTATAATTGCTCTAATCATTTCTAATCATTTCTCATATCAGGTTTTCTTGAGCCGAGGGTCTATTGGAAACAGCCTCTCTACCTGAATTGGGTAGGGGTAAGGTCTGCGTACAGACTACCCTCCCCAGACCCCACTTGTTGGGATCAAACTGAGCTTGTTGTTGTTGTTGTTGTTTAAAGAAAGGAAATAAAAAAGATAACACTTAACATAGACAAATAGCAGAAACATAAGGAATTTACTTTGAGACTTAATTGAACGGGAAATTAATTCAACCCTAGATGGACAACAGATAGATGTATTTGATCAAGGGAAACATGTGGAAAGACACACTACCTCGAGCACGTAGATACAAGATGTCGCACATGATTAGGAGAAGGCTGCTAGCTTCTCCTCTCCTTTTTCTTTCCCTATTTTTGTTTGGCTGAAAGCTCTTATCACTATGGCAGTGGAGCCGTAAAGGAACTACTATCCGCATTGCTACTTTACAGAGTACTACTGTGCTTTTCAAAAGAGTGGTATAAAGCAGTAGATTATGAGAGATATTGCCTAACATGACCAATAACTCAGTAAAAGGGAAAAAAGGAAGAGGTCAGTATTGGCAGGTACGGACATACATGGCCTTAATGGTTAACTAATCTTTAGTTGTGTCTTCAATGATTCTAGTTGTTCCAATTTTGTTTGTAACAGTAGAGCGGAAGTTACTTGGGAGTTACTTTACTAAAGCAAGTATGGGATAAAACATCCTCTCCTCCCTATATCATATTCACATTCCTCTAGCCTTCACAGAATTTCAAAGTACAATGAAAAAAAAATATCGAGGGTGATTAATGCGCAACTATTTTGGTGGCATTAAAATTCTCGAAGGCCTTAACATACCCATTATCTACTTAAATTCAGGAAACTTAAGACTACAAAAGGTGACTCCAACCGACATCTCAGTATTAGACCATGTAGCTTCTCCACATCAAAATTTCCGATTAGCGGTCTAAAAGCTCCAAGACTGCTTTACCCCCCCCCCCACCCCCCCACCCCACCCCCGGCGACAAATCATTCTGCACATTTACTTGGTTCGGACAGTCGAGAAGAGGAAGTGACAAAATAGGAAATGGGAAATAATAGTCATTAACACTATTGACAAACTACGACTAAAACTAAAGAGCTAAGTACCACTTTGAAAACCCAAACAAAAGTAAAATAACAAAAGAACGAAAGAATGAGATTAAGAATGTTCCAGACGAATCAACAATTGTTACCTTTCCCAAAACTGAAGCTTCAACATAGGAGGAGTATTTCTCTGCCCGTAAAATCGAGCTTACTGGGAATGCCACAGGCATGAGTAATTCGTTACCTGCAAATGCAGGACAAAGCTAATTTTCCTTCTCCTGACATTAGGATCTATAGAGAGGATGAAAGAAAAACCACACACAACAACAATAAATAAATTGAAGACAATGACACATATCTATAAAGGAACCAGGAACAACGCAACCCAGAAAAAGGAGGAAAAAGAAAACAGAACTAAAATAATTACCTAGTAAAAATTGCAGAAAAAATCCGACAAAGCACCATGTCAAAATGTGGAATCTACTGCGGAGACGCTGCAATAAGAGAAAATTGGTGTTTAGAACTTTAAGATTAGTTTAGCAAGTGGGAAATAATTTTCGAGAAGATGGATCATATAGCAAACGTGGCTGTTCAGAAGAGATCATATAGCAAACGTGGCCATTCAGATTAGAAGACATGTAACCTAACATAATCGAAATGTCTATATCACCCTTGTTTTGCATTTTAATACCAAAAATCACACAGGTCGAAACTCTAGCTCTTCTATAATATAGAAAATTGAGGGAAATAAAACAACATTATTTTAATAAAAGTTTATATTTTTGAGGTTTATATGTATTTACTTTCTTATATTTTGAATCGACTTGATAAAAATTCTGAGTCCGCAACTGTATATAATAATTTTAATCTGGTAATTTAAGAAATTACCGTAAATATAATAATAACTTATTTTAGTCGATTAGGATATATTGATAACATAAAATTATATAAATTATCAGCATATAAAATTATGGAATTTTTACATTCCTATGCCACATAGGAAACCTTATTACCCTCAATGTTTAAGGTTTGATTTAATTACACTTAGTATATCAAATTACCAATTCTATACTATAGTATATTTTAAAGATACAATTAATGCAGCGTATATCCCTCCTTAATTCAAGGTAGCGTATATCCCTCTTTTTGACAAGTAATTCTCAATTTTCCCTCTTCTTTTTTAAATAAATAGATTTTGTGTTTGTTCTTTCCTTGTTGTCTGGCAAAGTCGAATAATTGAACAAGAGTTGGATACGGAACATTAACGCTTCAATGTCTAACCACGAATCAGAGGGTAAGTTTTTTTTATGGCAAAATTAAAGAACTGCAAATTGTATAAATTGCATCAAATGGATATGTGGCGTTTGGTTATTTGGGAGTATTTCATTTTTGTAACATCGTGACGTTAAAGCATGCTCTCATCTACAGTGATATTGGTTCACTATCTAGACAAAAAAAAAATAGTATGTCGTTTCTAAACTAGATTTTCCACATAATTCTGTTTTTTGCAGAAGATTTTGTAGAAGTTTTAATCGTTTTGGATTTGTGAAAACAGAAAATAATGCATCTACAATCAGAATACAAATAATCTATAATTCATCTACAAAATATCTACAAACTGGGTATATTGAATTTTAATATCCCAATTCACATTCTATTGTAGTTTTATTGGGATTTTCGACATAATTGCATTTTTTGCAGAAGATTTGTAGAAGTTTTAGTCGTTTTTGATTTGTGAAAACAGAAAACAAAGCATCTACAATTAGAATACAAATAATCTACAAAATATCTACAAACTGGGTACATTGAATTTTTATATCCCAATTCCCATTCAATTGTAGCACAATTGGGATTTTTGACATAATTGCATTTTTTCAGAAGATTTGTAGAAGTTTTAGCCGTTTTTTATTTGTGAAAACAGAAAATAAAGCATCTACAATCAGAATACAAACAATCTACAATTTATCTACAATTTCTGCAATATGTCTTCTTCTTCTTCTTCTTCTTCTTCTTCTTCTTCTTCTTCTTCTTCTTCGAGTTTCAATCTGAAATTCAGTCAAAACCAAGTCTAATCTTCACCAAAACCCCTCAAAATTGAGATATAAACTCCAAACCATATTCCCGATTATTTTCAACAACACTCAATCCAAACAAATAATGATTTTTGAAAACCCAAATTTGAATTCAAAGCTTTCAAGCTCTTTAATGGCTGTCAATGGTGGAATTGCTGCTCTCTTTTCATTTGCTTTGAATTACTGAAATTTGTGATTGAGAAATAGAGAGAGATGTAGAGAGAATGTCGACGAACAGAGCTTTTGCAGAACTGATTTCTATAATTTGAAATTGAGCTTCTGATTTCGACGAACTGAGCTTTTGATTTGTGTCTTAAGCGAAAATATCGAAGAACAGATCTGAGCTTTTGAACAGATTTGATTTCGACGAATTGAGCTTTTGAACAGATTTGATTTGTGGCTAAATCAATTAGAAGATTCCGTTCCTGAATTTTAGCATGCCTAATTAGGAAGATTCAGCTACTAATAATTAGTATTTAATGAATAGTATAATAATTGTAGGAAAAATATGGACAGGGCGGGTAAATTAGAAACTGTGCACATTTTTGGTAATAAAGTTTCATATATGGTATAGGAAGGAAAAAATCTCTAAAATCATTCATGTTAGGCCTCATAGCAAATCATGCACGTCTGCGTGGTAGGAGGATGTAGTTATCTAAGATTCCACTATAGGTAGGTTATATTGTTATTTTTCTAAGAAAAAAGATAAATCTATATATGCTTGTCAATATTCAAATTATAGAAGTTACTTCAATTTTATCTTTTTCAAATTGTAAGTGTAGCGACCCGGCAGGTCGTTTCATGAGTTACCGTCCCGTTTTCTCCCTTTCTGCTTCTTATTGTCTTTTTCAGCTGTAATATGTGTTATCGGATTGGTTGGCTCGGGTTCGGAGAGGTTTTGGTAAGGTTTGAGATACTTAGTCTCTTTTAAGAAAGCTTAAGATGGAAAAGTCAACCGGATGTTGACTTATGTGAAATAGGGCACGGATGTGAATTCCGGTGACTCGGATAGCTTCGGGAGGTGATTTGGGACTTAGGAGCGAGATCGGAATGTGTTTTGGAGGTCCGGAGTAGATTTAGGCTTGAATTGGCGAAATTGGAATTTTGGCGTTTTCCAGTTGATATGTGAGAGATTTATATAGGGGTGGGAATGGAATTCCGGAAGTTGCAGTAGGTCCGTTGTGTCATTTGGGATGTGTGTGCAAAATTTCAGGTCATTCGGACGTGTGGTCCGATAGACTTTTTGATCGAAAGCGAAATTTGGGAGTTCTTGGAATTCTTAGGCTTTAATCCGATGCAAATTTGGTGTTTTGATGTTGTTTTGAGCGTTCCGGAGGTTGGAACAAGCTTGAATGATGTTATGGGATATGTTGGCATGTTTGGTTGAGGTCCCGAGGGCCTCGGGTGAGTTTCGGGTGGTTGAACGGACCAATTCAAGTTGAAAAAGATTGCAGAAAATCTGTTGTTGGTGTTGCAGGTTTTTGACCTTCGCGTTCGCGATGAAGGTCCTGCGATCGCGAAGGGTTAGGTGGTGAGGCTGTGAAGTTGGCCTTCGCTTTAGCGAAGGTGGTTACGCGATCGCGAAGGGTCGAGGTCTACGGTCATCGCGTTCGCGAGGTCCTCGCCGCGTTCGCGTAGAGGAAGTGGGCAGATGGGGTCCTAGATGGTTTGTTCTTCGCGTTCGCGCTGTGTTGGGAAGCCAAGCCTTCGCGTTCGCGTTCGCGTACTGGGAGTCGCAATCGCATAGAAGGAAAAATGGTCAATTAAAATTTGTGCTCTGCGAACGTGAGACGTTGACCGCGTTCGCGATGAAGGATTTTTAAAAGCTGGGCAGAATGTTTAAAAGACCCATTCTTTAGCCTAAGTTTCACCATTTTTGAGCGATTTTAGAGCTTTTTGAAGAGGATTGAAGAGGGAATCGAGGAGGAACACTTGGAGGTAAGATTTATGGACTTAATACTCAATCCTAATGTGATTTCTACCTTATTAATCATGGAAATTGTGGAAAATAAGCCTGAAAATTAAAAGTTAGGGCTTGAGAATTGGAGAACTAAATCTAGGGATTTGAGGGGCCATTTGTGGTCAGATTTCGAAGTATTTGATATGCATGAACTTATGGGAAGATAAGGGTTCCATTGAAGTTAATTTTGTCAGATTCCGAGACATGGGCCCGGGTACCGGGTTTGGTTAATTTCGAGATTTGTGTCGTAATTTGATGATTTTCGCATGGGCTTCCTTCCCTTAGCATATTTTGACGTCATAATTCTGATTTTGGTTAGATTCGACGCGAGTTGAGGCCGAGACGAGAGGCAAAGACATCGCGGGCTAGAGATTGGACCGGATAGAGGTAAGTAATGATTGTAAATGTTGTCCTGACGGTATGAAACCCCGGATTTCACATCGTTGTGCTACTTTGAGGTGACGTACACACTAGATGACGAGCGTTGGATCGTGCACCATTGGGGGTTGTGACTTAGTCCGCCCCGTATGATTGTTTATCTGCGTATTTGATTGAAAATTGTTTGCTATCATCATGTTTTGGGCTGAATGCCATACTTGGGCCTCGTGCCAGGATTTTTACTGTTATTCCTCACTATTTTGACTTAGTATTTGTATTCAGTCATGCTATATTCTACTGTTTCCACAACTCATCCATCTTTACTCGTTTTTTATATTTTAAATGCAATTTTGGGCTGAGCATCATGTTTTACTGTTGCCCGTGTGGCTTGTGAGATTCTGACTGATTAAGGCTGAGGGCTTGTGTTGTGAGGATACTATGGGATCGGGCTGCATGCCGCAGCATGTGGTACTGATTGTGATATATGAGAGGCCGAGGGCCAGATTCATTATGCCACGAGGTGGCTTGTAATTTATATGAGACCGAGAGTCTGTTGATTATGCCACGAGATGGCTTAGTATTGCGCTTGGGCCGTAAGGGGCCCCTCCCGGAGTCTGTACACCCCAGTGAGCGCGGGTACCCAGTTTGTGATGTGATATAGCCCGAGGGGCTGATGTTGTTCCATGTTGTTGCCCGATGGGCTGATACGAGTGATTTTGAGATAGCCCGAGGGGCTGGTTCTATTGGTATTTTGCCCGATGGGCTGTTTTGTGTTTCTATCTTTTATACTTGTTTTCATTCACTCGTTTGAACTGCTGAAAGATGTTTTAAAGAGGTTTTACTGAACTAAAAAGTTTTTATGAACTTTTACTGTTTACTGTATTGTGCTGGTTTTTACACTGCCTCGTTGTAGCATTTTGCTGTGTATTTACGTGTTTTTCTTATTGCTCAGTTGCCTTTACTTTTATTACTTACTGAGTTGGCGTACTCACATTACTCCCTGCACCTCTGTGTGCAGATTCGGGAGTCTCGGGTCACGCTAGCGAGGGTTGATTTGCTTCCAGCAGGCTTATTTGGAGTTGACTAGGTAGCTGCCCGGCGTTCGCAGCCTAGTGCTTTTCCTTCCTACTTTTATTTCGGTTGTCCTAGTTTCGTAATAGACT